GAATGCAAAACAAGTTCCAGCAGACAGGAGATACAGCGAAAACGGGAGGCACTTGAGGAAGTACACGAACAGCTGGTGGAGAGCAACCACGAATTGGAAATGGATTTGCGTAAAGAGTTGAATTTGATGAGAGCGCCGCACGTAAGGAGGCACTGCGTGAACGTGATGCCGCTATTGAGATAATCTACGATCAGACTATCACCAAATTCCGCGAGCTGGTGCAGGAACTGAACGAACAGCTATTAGATTTGCGTGATCGTACAGCCAACAATGATCCGAAATCACTGCAAGATGCCAATGGCGTTGAGATCGCTAGTGAAACAATTGATTATAAGCAAATGTTTGCCGAAGAGTGGGAGGCAAGTAACTTAAGGAAATGTCAGCAAGAAGATCCCGATTTAGAATTATTAATTCACGGATTGGAGGTAAATAGACAACAAAGTAACGAACAAATGGCTGCGGAAAGTCCTATCGCGAAGGCATACTGAGCACAATGGAACAGTTTAGAGCTGATATCCGGCTGTTTGTATAGAGTGTGGGAAAATGAAGATGGCCAGTGTTCCCGGAAGCTAAGAGTAGTTCCGAAGTTAAGGATTCCGGATGTTCTTAAGGAATTCCATAACGGTCCTAGTGGAGGGCACCTAGGCATTACAAAAACGCTGGAAAAGATCAAGCAGCGGTTCTATTGGGTTGGCTGTCGGCAATCGGTCGCGGAGTGGAACCATTTGAGCAGGTTGCCATGGATGTAGCCGGTCCATTCCCTATGAGCAAACAAGGAAACAAGTACGTTCTTGAAGTTATGGACTACTTCAATCAGATGGTATGGTAGAGCGATTCAACCGCACCCTGGAAGAGCACTTGCTGAAAGTAGTGGACAAGCATTAGTATGATTGGGATGTGCATATACCGTTTTTCCTGATGGGATATCGGACTTAGGTGGAGGGCAGTATGGCGAAAATGCGAGCCGAATGTCAAATGAAAGGGAGAAGCCGATAACTAGTACATTCTAGAGCGATAAAATGGGAGTTAGTTACAAAGTGAATTCGGCGTTATTAAGATCAACTTGGTGTTGTTTTTCTTCCTTTGCGAGAGTAGTTTTGTTATTGTACGTAGCTAGCTACACACGTCGTCTTCACTAAGCTGGCCGGTTACTTTCTTAGTTTTTGTCATCTAATTTCTTGAGTCACACCGCGTGCCTCGCTCAACTCCTCAATTTCCCGATTTACTTTACTTTATTTCAACCCTGATGAAATAACAATATTTTGTCGATATCGCTTACAAATATTCGTCGCTTAGATAGCGATTTATTAATACCGCTAAGTCTTATTTGCGATCCGAAAATCGTTATATATAAATAGCGAATATATAAAACAAGTATTTAAACTGAAAATCATTGAATTCGTGCTATGTTATAAATCCCTCCTGCACCCGTTTTTTCAAAAACGAAATTTTAGATTAAAACCTTAAAAAAAGAAACCCACATTTTTTGCTTTCTAGACCTAAATCTTAAGAATAGCAATTATTTTATTTTCATTATTTTAACATATTACTTTTATATGTAAGTTGCACTGGATTTTAGCTCTAGAATCTCTCCTGACCTGCTGAAACCTGATTTCTTTGGTTAGTTGAATCTGAATTCCTTAAAACTGTTGAGTAGTGACTTGTGTCATGTGACATTTAAGAATCTCCAATTGTCCAATTAATTCCCTCCATGTGGCTGCATTCTTTTTTTAAATTGGATATAACGTAAAATTGGAGTACAATTCTTATTTGTTGTTTGCATTGTTAGGTTGTTATGCTGAAACAGTCAAAATTTACAGTTTTCCATCGATTGATGTATGTAGTAAAAGCATGCCAAAAACTGAGTACGAGTGCCATCAATTGGGTGTATGAGTATAAGAGAGCAGCCAACGCAAGTCAGTATAACGAAAGCAATTTCAAGAATCACCTATATGTATGCCAAATTTAACTTAGACTGACCATTTATTAATTGCTTCAAATTCTTTCATTTTCTGTTTTATGTATATAATATATTCAGGAATGCATGATGTCATATGCCGTCAGCTCGTAGAACGATTTTCCCGAAAGGCAGAAATGACATATGTGATGTTTATTTTTGTATTCGTGTACGTCATTCTCTCTTCGTTTCCCTATGCATTTTCGTCATTCATGTTGTACAAACAGAACACAGCTGAGTTACAGCATTGATACCTTTGAAGTTTAAAGACGTCTAAGTAAAATTAAAATTAATGTTCGAATCAGAATGTTATCAATATCTAAATGCAGTTCTACCCTGCAAAGTTATCTTGAATATTTTTAAACCTGCTACTGCGGCAAAATGAGAAGCGTCCATTCCCGTCAACCTGTTATATTAGTTGAATTTTTCGTAAAATGTAAAAAGCAATAAAAATTAAGTAGTTAATTAATCGACTATTCTAGTATATTGTTACGATTTTACTAAATCAACCTCGATGATTTCCTGAATCCTTCGGGTACGATCTCTGGATTGTTAAATAAAACTCGCCAACTTAATTTGCAGTTTCTTTCGTTATAAAGATTTGATCTAATGTCCTTTATTTACTCCGTAATTCACAATTCAATTATAAGACACTTTACTAGCTACAATCACTTGCATCAACTTTCACAATTTACTCTACTTAAATGTAATTCCCAACGCGTTCACTTTACGACTTAACTGATGTTAGCGCCAACGAGCTCACTTTATCACTAACTTACTTGCAGCTGAGTGTCGCCTTTATATAGCAGTCGGCTGCTCGCAGACGAAAGCGTAGAAGCATCGAATTGTTCGCTATGGAAGGTTCTTGTTTTATCGTTTCTAGAATGTACTAGTTATCGGCTTCTCTCTTTCATCTGACATTCGCCTCGCATTTTCGCAACAATATTATTACCACAGCTTGTACAGGATCCTTACCCACAATCCGTTCAACTACTTATGTGTTAGTGTTGCCCGAAATCGTGTGAGTGTGTTGGTGACCCCATCAGCCCGTTCTTGGAGGGCTGTTATGAATAATGTGGAAATAATTTTCAAACATAAAAATAACTGTAGACTGCTTAACTTTGAATGGTCATACCTCAGGAATGCGTTGTTCGATTTTATCTGGATATTTCAATTTTTTCTCTAAAACGCACCCATTGTCATAATTGCTGCAGCTAATGCTTCTTCTTTACTTCTTCTTACGTAGACATCAGAGTTAACAATAGGGCGCCATTCATTCCTTCTTTTCGATGTTTGGCGTCAATCAAAAATACGAAGTACAGACAAACCCTTCCCTAATTGGTCTTCCAAACGGAGTGGAAGTCTTCTTCCGTTTACACCGGCGGATACTGGATCGAATTTGTTCAAAGCTAGAGTGTTCTATACAGCCGAACAACATGACCTAGCCAATGTCTCTTAATTCTCTGAACTGTGCCAATGTCGACGTATATCTCGTTCAGCTCATCGGCGATAAGACTCACCTTACCGTACCAATCGAACGGCTCGGGGAGGCCTTTCCTGATCCTGACGGAACCTTTGGTGCTGCTTTTCGTCAGCTTACACAGCGGTATAAGTTTTGTGGCGATACCAAGATCAGACATAGCTACGTAGAGTCATTTCGGACTCACCTTCTCCTGGTGTTTCATTGTCACTTCCATTCAGAAGGCTGAAGAAGTTTTCCCTTCATAAAATCAATGCCCAGAGTATGGCACCCGTTAATAGATCACCTCTCTGTGTCCTACAAGACTTTCTTGCGGTCTTGAAACCTTCAATAAATCGCAGTATTTCCTCGTAAAGTTTTCGAGCATTATCTCTGTCGGCTTCTCAAGCTCTTCTTGCTCCCCTTTTTAATTCCTAGTATCTATCTTAGTATGCACGTGGAGTGGTCGATTGCAACGTTGCAAGGTAGAAGTCAACCAGAGAACGACCTATCCGGAAATATTGTATTTTTGATTTGATTTACTTGAAGCTCAGCACTACTTTTCTTTAAACGATGTGACCGAGGCGCTGACCTACTCAAAAAATCGTAGTTGGAATTTGGTACATAGGTGGATTTTTCTCTCCGGCAATTGGACCAAGGACCGAAAATTCGGTTTATGAATGGCTTTTTGTTTAGATTTACAATAATACTACTCTTCTGTTTGGGAAGTGACCCTAAGACTAATCTATTCGGAGAGATCGTATTTTTGATTCGACTTAAGCGAAATTCGGACATAGGTGGCGTTTTGCTTAGATTAATACAAAGACTACTCTTTCTCACCGAAACTGAACCAGAAATCCACCTATTGGAAAAAATCGTATTTACAGTTCTTTTTACTTGAAAATTTTTTTTTACTTGAAGTGGACCGATGCATTTGGATAATTATACATATCCATGATTCATTTCGACGTGTGACTACATTGAAACTAGTTTCTGCATTTTAATTTCATATACATAATTGCAGAAATAAAAACGACATGCGTAGCGGCATTCATTTATCTGCAATTTGTTTACTAAAGCTAAATTTCAAATACTGTCAAAGGATTTCAGTATTGTCAAAAAAGATTTCTGATAAAACTTATTGTGAAATAAACTGATATCCAAGGCAAATCAAACGTTAGCAGCGTGATTACAAAAACAAAAATCCCATGTATTTTGTTTGTGTAATCATAGTTAAGAAAAGTCAAAAACTAAAATCGTCTAATGTTTTTTGTTTGTGTAAACGAACATTCGAAATGTCACAACGTATTTCTCATGTATTTTGTTTGTGTAATTTGTTGAAATGGGAAGAGGAACAAGCAATCATATGATCTGACAACTTCACCTTCAATAAATTTGCTTTGGTGATATCCCATAACTGCTACGTCAGACAGCTCCTTAATGTTGATCTGGCAGGAGGTGCATATTCTTTACAATTGTTGTACAAATAGATATATGACATGGTAAACGCTGTTCGAGTCAAGAACTTTGAGATTTTTAATTACAGAAAAAGCTTTCTTAGTTGCAAAATTTATTTATTCTTGATACAAAATAAAATAATAACAAAAAACGATTTTTTTTTTTCAAATTACAATACAAACTTATAATATAATGCTGAAAGTAACACATTTTTAATAATATTAACATACAAATCTAATCATGAAATAGTACAACTATTTCGGTTGTTATTCAATGGATATTTACATTGATATTTAAATCTTGAACCATGACTGATGTTATGAATGCTCTGAGATGTGGTTAAAGCATATGATTTCAGTGTTGACTTCACAGATGTTGGTAGGCTTAAAGAATCAATAGCGTACACGGTTGTACATCTAACAATTGTTCGGCAACACAGTTCTTGCAAAGACAAAACTATAAGTAGAAAAATTATTAAGCCAAGAAAATTTTAAACATAAATATTATTAAGGAAATATATCATTATACTAGATATTCTTCTTAAATACACCTTTAAGTATTACGAAGAATATTTACAATTTTATTTACAGATTCCAAGATTATTGCCAAGGTATAAGATAAATTTGAAATATTATGTGAAGAATGTCCATGATGAATTAAAACGCAGGTGATTCGGCTATAATCGCGTAAGTGGTGCCTCCACCAATGAGGAAGAAGAAGTCAATAAACAGTTGCCTCTCTTCTATAGCATGCCTTCTGCAAAATTTTCTTTTTTTCATATTGTGGCGATAATGCCAAATACCAATAATAAAGAAAGAGATCAACACAGCTTTTTCCAAATAAATAAATGCTCAACTCAGTACCATATCGTATAACCCTGACTGTAATTTGTCCGAATTTTTTTTGCATATAGTAATTTAACATCTGGATCACAAAGAAATGCGTGGTTTTTGCAGTGGTTGCACTACTTCTTAATCTTCATGAAAAAACATAAAACATTAGATTTCTGACTTCAGGCTTCGTCGAAGGGACGCCGATGATGCATTACCCATTGCAAATGAGGTTATAACACAAGAAAACATCAAAGAACTCATAGTTATCCCTATTTATTATTCTACAACAACATTTATATTTTCTGCAAGCATAAATGTTAATATCGTCCTTTGGTCTTGTGGTGTTGAAGGCGATTCAAATTTTTATTGGATGGAAGTACCAACAATTAAACAATTGATTAGTTCAAAATAAGTTATGACTCGAAGAGCGGAACGAGCAAAGTGGCTGGACCCGAAGATACGTTCTGTTAGCGTTTCGCCACCTAGACCACAATTTGTAATAATTTTGTAAATGAATCTTTATTTTATTTCATTGTATTCTTCTCAAATAGAATTATTATCTTAGTAATAAATTTTAACTGAATCATTGAGGATGCCTCAGCAAACTGATATAGTCATATGTATGAACAATTATTTAAGCTGTTTGTTATTTATTTATTTATTTATCTGTAGCTCATATTATTTTCTCCAGAATATGGATAAATACACATATTTTACGAAAGATGGAGTCATTTTATATCCTCTGGTAAAATTTTGTAGAAAAAGAGTGTGTACATATGTCAGATATACATAGTTAAATTATTATATACTGAGATCTATAGCAAGAAATGGACGATGCCCAAAATATCATGAAAAACACCAATGTGCATGGTGAGAATTTTGTTAAAACATTACCTTTATTATTGCGCCAAATACGTTCCATTCCATTTCTGTGTAGTGCCATTCGAGCGAGCTCGCAAAAAGATTCTCTGATGTTAAAATCACAGAGAGGAGATATTTCAAAGCAAGACATGTGATTACGAGATGCGTAGAGCTCTGCATGCTTGGATAGAACTTGTCTTTTAAAGGCAAGATGTAATCGATTTCCTACCAATATCTTTGGAATACCAGGAGCATGCTGAAATAAATAAAACGAGAATTTATTACCACAGTTATATTTATAACACACCATGGCTTTCATCAACCACCAAGGAAGTACAAATTTCGGATGGACCGAAGATTAGATAGCCGACTGTTTTAAATGTGGGGGGAACTTTACGATTTCCCCAAGGGACAACCCGAATACATTCTGGCCAGCTTACACTTTTTCACTCCGCATACAACTGCGATTACTACAAAAGTACGCAGACACAACAATAGCTTCAAGCCACTAGGTGGCAGAACACGAGAGAAAAATAAGGAAACGTTGCTCGCAGCTTACAAGTCAACCAGCCGGCTGGTTACTAATTACACATACACGAATGAATAAGTATATAGATAATTATATAATATTAATTAATTAATTTAAAAAAATATTAAAATAGAAATAAAATATAATCATTAACACACGTGTAGGTTCACCGTTGATTATCGACTTTGGTTTGCAAGCTTTTTTTTAGAGCTGACATGCTGTTTGACATGTTCAACAGTGTTTTCGGGGAACCAAGTGTTTACTAATATTATGCGCCAATTAGAGACACCAAGTGAATCAATTGACTCTTGTACTTGGGATCTTGGTATTCTTTTATTTGCATCAACGGGTACTGCAACGAAAACATTTTGAAAACTGGACTATTTTTGCGTCAGTTCACTAAGCTCTTTAAATTTGGTGTACGAGGTGCGACAAATACGTGATGAGGCTAATTCCATAACAACTTTATATTTCAAAATTATTCTACAACTCTGCTATCCCCTCCAAAGTAGTCCCCTTGGGCAGCTATACAACGATTCCAGCGCGTTTTCCATACTCCGTAACATTTCTGGAACGCCTCGACTGGAATGTACGCGAGTACCCTCGTCACGGCCACCTGGATGTCCTCAATCGACTCAAAATGGATTCCTTTGATCACCGGTTTTGTTCTAGGGAACAAAAGAAGCCACATGGTGGCATATTGGGGAATAAGGCGGTTGCTGCGACACGGCCAAATACAAGGACACGGAGAGGGCATTGTGGCACGGCACGTTGTTGTGATGAAGGATCCAGTTGTTTTAGATGAGTTGGTTTAAGAGGGCATGTGAAGAGGTGGTTAGTGTCGTGCTACAGGGCATACGTTGGGTATGTTGAGTCTAGTCTGGATAAGTAGGAGTTTAACCTGCTACAATATCCGGACCTGAGCTGTGTCAGGGTCATGCGGGTCTCTCGAGGCAGCTCCAGCTCGTTGTCTGCTATAGTTGGTGGTATTTCTTCGAGTACGCCATTCACTGGAAGGGAGTCCTTAACGGTGTTGACTGACTCCTGGTGAATGGCGTTCAGTGCTTGTCGGTTCGCCATCCTGTCCAGCGGTTTTTGTACATGTTGCTGGATTGTGTCCTTTAAGTCTAGTACTCCCTTTCTGATGTGTCTAGGTAGAGGTTCAGCTTCTATTAGGTGCCTACTGGGGTGCTTCCTGCGGTAGCATCTCAATAGGAACTGCTTGCGCAGCAGAGCATTATGCTCCCTAACTCGTAGCATAGATTATTTTCTGTGCAAGTGATGCTCCGGCGATATGAGGAGGTTTCCTGTCGCGGTCCTGAAGGCGGTGTTCTGGCAAGCCTGTAGCTTCTTCATCTGCATTCGTTCTTCCCCGGCGTCCAAATTGGTGCAGCATAGTTTACGACCGGCCGACCAATTGCTTTATAAGTTGCCAGCAAAGTTTCTTTGTCTTTATTCTACGTGCTGCCGGCTAGCGCTTTGAGTATTTTGTTGCGGCTCTGAAGCTTTGCGGCAAATGCGGTCGTTTTACCGCCGGGTTATTTACCGTCGGAATTTTTGTGTCATCGAACGTCACATCTAGTTCAAGCCTGTACTCCTTTGTCCACCTGGTGAAGAGGGTAGCGGAGGATTTCGTCGGTTGAATTCTTAGCTGTCTCGCCTCGTCTCCGCGCCTCGTCTTCTACGCTTTCAAGTCCCTCCTTAAACTCTTTATGCCATCGAAACACCTGAGCACGACTAAAAGCGCTATCACCATGCACTTTTACAATTTTAGCGGACGTTTCCGAAACTGTTTCGCCCATAATGGCGCAAAATTTTATCGCGACGCGTTGCTCTTGATTTCGTTTTTCCATTTTCGTGACGAGCACCACGAACACACGTTTAATCAACACGACCCAGCGGGCGAACCAAATAAATTTTGGCCTTCGTTCGTCGAGAGGACCATTATCTTTGGTAGAGCAACGAGTCACTACTCGCGTCTTAACGCGGTACTTATCTATTGTATATAAATATTTGTATAAACTAATTTCATTATTTTTGTTATACGTTTTTAGTGAGCTAATAATATATCAATATAATAATGATGTGAAATAAATGCTCCTCAAAAATTCCACCCATTCGTAGGCGCATCAAGACGCGCAGCACATGGTGGAACACTCAGCTCACCGGTTACAAAGTTCGATTAATATATAATATATGTATATAAATATACGTGCTGTGCTCATATCTTATTAAAGAATGATCGTTTAGTCATTACCTCTTCAACTTCTTTTAGCCACCTATCAATTCCATCAAAACTCCATTTATTTGTAATGTCATAAACTAAAATTATTCCTTGTGCTCCTCTCGAGTATGACCTTATAATTGTGCAGAATCGTCCTTGGCCGGACGTATCCCAAATTTGTAACTTAACACGTTTGCCTTCCAGAAGTATTGTTGTGGTTTTATATGCTAAAGTAAGATTTTGTTAAGACATTAACATATATGTTAATTACATTTTGTATTTTATTAATAAAGTTTACCATTGCCGCTACAGAATGGACTTTCCGAAGATGCATCTTCAAGACATGACAGTATTTCGTGTTTACCGACATCGCTATCTCCTACTAAAAGCACCTTTAATAAGTAGTCGTAGTCCTTTGTCATTGTGATTTTTGACTGAAAAATATAGTTGCAAATGGAATCAATAAGTAAAACATCGAGACATGTACCTAGTCGAGGCATATTATAGTTGGATCATGGTTAAATTCCCTTTTATAAAAATATTTAAGTTGTTGTTGTCCGCTCTAGTAGAGAAACATCAACACCACTTCTGACATTCCTCGTCAACCGTGTCCATTGCTTGGTATGCAGCTATGGGTACTAGTAGTTGCGTTCTCTTAACAACGCCGCCTCGGGATGACAAGAATAGAAGAAGACAATGAGAGTACATGTTTGAACCACCCCCTGCGGGTTATGGCTCTAAGAATTTAAACGCGGTAAGGCATGAGTGTCGTAAGAGACGACTAAAATCAAGTAGTTCCCGCGAAATTCGTGTTTTTATACCTGGACGACCTGAATTTTTCTCCGGCCAAGAGCTGTCACACCCGAAACATTCCAAAAAGAGTATTTTGGTAAATATTTTTGAGGTTACAACAACAAATACGGCAGTATCGAGGGAACATATATCTCGCCTACGAATAAGGATAGGAACAAATCTCCAGAGCAGCTGAAGAAGCTAACGTTTTTTGCGGATTTACCTATTCTTACAGTTTTCGAAAGCATTTATTGAAATACACAAAAAATTGTGGTTCTGAATAACTTTAAATATATATTTAGTCGTTTTCATCTTCCCGCGGTAGTCGGGGGTTTATTTTGGAACGTCCCGAATTTTTATCCAGCTAAGGACTGTTACTACCACAACATTCCCCAAAAAGAACATTTTGCAATATTTTTGCGGTTACAATAACAAAAAAAAAAGACAAGTCATCATTTAAAATATTATTACTTGCCTGATTCCAAGGCTTTAAATACATATATTTAAACTAGTCAATAAATATTTCCTCAACATAAAGTGATCGTGGCTCTACCCGGGCGAAATAATGGTTACCACGATTCGCCCCTGAAACAGTTGGGCAACTATCTATTTATAAAATAAATTTAGTCACGGAATATTAACGTTTCAACATAATCAAACCCGATCTTGTACACACCCCCAAGATTTCATAACACTTATAGGTACCTCACTTCTTTTTTTAAAAAAGATTTGAATTTCTTTTCTTTTAGATGTCCAAATTATTTCTCATTGAAAATTATTTAAATTTGTAATAAAAATAGACTGATTTTTCCACACCTCTCCGGCTATATAAAGACAAAGATTTTTCCTTTTTTTTAACATTTTATAACGTATTTTCCTTCGCTTTCAAAATATGTATAACTAGGCTGGGTTGGGTAGGGCAGGCACATAAGCCCGTGTCTTGAAAAAATAAACGAAAAATCATTACACAGTTCGCAAAAACGTATGATAAAAGAGTTTCATGTGAGGCGCGCTGAGAACTAAATTAATTTACTTAATTATTCTGTTTTAACTTTCAAAAAACACACAAATTAATAAAGGGTCAACATTTTTTAACTAAAATTAAAAGCCGGCTTTTCTTGACAAAAAAAGCCAAGAGGCGTTGATGTCAATTCAAAGACATCCTGGGCTCCGGCGGATCGCGAAATACGCACCACCAATATATGGCGCTCTGCCATAACTTCTTTAATGCTTTACACAAAACAAAAAAAAAATTTTTTGACTTTGAGAGTAACCTGTATCTGTACAACTATTATTTTAATACACATATGTACATCAAACCATAACATTTTATTAATTATTGCTTACGAAAGATGCACTAAAGTGAATTTCACATATATACCTTTTACAGTCAAATTATCTTTATCTTCATATGTAAATGCTTTTCTGTTATTAATAACTAATTTATAAAAGACCGGAGCACACAAATTGAAACAAGAATGCAAAATTTTAGGTACCATCGTTAAAAAATTACGACATTTTTGCACACAAACTTACTTCCTACAGGAAAAATGTAATGCTTAAACAATAAAGCGAACTTACGTTGGATATTGTCATAGTTTAACATGTTCCTTTACACTTAGTAATACAATCACATATCACTAAAATCCAACATATTTCTTGTAATTCAGTAGAAAAAATATAAACAAACACTCATCCAGGAAAATACGTCAACATTACTACTTATAGAGATGTGAAAAACATCTATCGGAAATAGGCATGGCTGCCGTATTGTAATATTTTTTCGGACTATTAAATGAGTTAAAAACTTTTAACATTAATTTAGACTAGGCCTTTTTCAAATGCGTCAAAGTTTTGCTTTCATGTCTGCTAGTTCGTTGACTAGGGGTGTGAGAAGAAAGGGGAAAGGTGCAGATACCTTGGTACAAGCAAGTCCAATTTTTCTTGCCTTGCTTTTGACGCTTTCGTTTTGTTTGACCTTTTTCCACATTTCTTTTCATTTTGTTTTTCTCATATCGGTGTCAAAACGAGCGTCTACCTATTTACTTGAGAAAAATTATTATTACATATATAATTGGCGCTTTTTTTGTAACCGCTGAAGCGATTTACGGTCGAGCTCCGCCTCCAATTTGTGGTTTTGCGTCTTAATGTTTTCCCAACAAATGGAGGGACCTACAGCTTATACTAAATCGTATCCGAACGGCTGATGGTTTTTTATGAGGAGCTTTATATCAGGTCAGAAACACACTTGGACGATTTGACATTCCCTACCGAGGGGCGATCGCAGCTAGAAAATTTAACTTAACTTTTTATTTAAAGTAATTTTCTATAATTTTTGGATGTTGGTCGCACAGGTATTTGAACCCAAATCTTCCGAATGTCAATACGCAATGCTAATCACTTTGCTACCGCGGGCGTCAAATTAATATTAATACATTTATAAAGATATCAGACCATAATTACAATTAGTAAATGGTCCTGTTTCATCAAGTGTATGTAAATTAAAGTCATTAGTTTACATATATTTTAAATCTCGATCAATTACTAAATAGAATTCCAAATGTCAGAAAGAAGAAAGAAAAAAAAACTTGAATTCAATTAAAGTTTACGCATGTGAAAGTAAATTGAAAATACATAAGAGAGCGCAAAACAATTGCTTTTAAAGCTTAATGCATGTGAAAGGGACTTACATGGTGAAAACAACACTCTTGTTGTCCGCAATTGTATTTCAGAAGTCAAATTTGATAATGTGGCGAAAATCCCAAATACGAATATGGGTTGAGAAGAAGAGGGTGATAACTAATGCTGCAACTACCCAACTCACGTACCTTCCATCCATAGCAACCAATGTAAACACAAAGTTGTCACCGCTTGACGGCTGTCCCGCTGAAACCAACGGCGATTTGATTTTTCCATATAACCGGCTGGGCTCACTTCTTGTTGCTATACAAGGTTGCCAGTATAGGCTTTTTAAAACTAATTATTTAAATACCATTTAGATCATGTATATTTGATTTTTGTTTATATTCAAACACATATATTATGAAATTTGTTGAGGAAAATTACATCAGAAGTGTGCAAATACACTGGCAGCTGGTAACATATCGCCGCTCTCAGCTACGTAAACATTTGGGTGATTGCAACATATTACTCATTCTAGAGCGTGAGTATGGAGTCTGTAAATTGTGAGAACATGACAGATATTTTCAGAGCTGAGTCAACACATCGTTACTCAGAAACCAAGTAAACTGGTTGGTGACAACCGGTGCAAAATGAAATAGTAGAGTGCGAAATTTTTCAAAAAGTAATCGGGTAAGTTAAAAAAAGTTGTGATTTGTTCTGCAATAAATAAATGTATATTGTTTGCGTTCTTTGCAATTAAGAATTTTGACAAAATTTCCAGTGATCGAACTCGAAGGATGCGCGAAACCATCAAAGCGTATTTAGCAAAGATCGTTACAGGCGTTTCACTTCTCAATGTATATACGCTTGTTGATTTAGATGTATTTGAAGTAGAGGAGCTTTCATTTTCTTTTATTTATGTTAGAAATATTCACAATAAGATTTTTGTATTCTTAGAGCAGTGTTTTTTTTTAATTGTCAGAAAAGTGGAGTCTGCAAATGAAAATATGTAATACACCTTTTCCACGGCATCATGAATTACATCGTTTGTCGTCTCAATTACGAACGCGAATTACCCCATCTACTCTCAGAAATATGTATGTCGAATTAAGTAATTAGATATATGAATGAAGTGTAATATTCATAAATATGTATCGATGTACAAATTTATCGATATGTAAACAAAAATTAATTTTAGTGGATATTTATTAACTGTGTTGTTATGAAATCTGGTTCATTTACGTCGGGTAATATTCAATTAGTAATAATTATTACTACTACCAGCTGTGGCTTATTATGTTGTGAAATTATTTGACTACTATAATATGGCTTTAAGTTTTGTGGTAACCCGTTTATTTGAGGAAAATAAAGTTGTGTTACTTATGCACGAATACAAATATATGTACATTTTTCATAGTGTAAACAACATACACTATTTTGCGACAATAATCATAGGAGTTGGATGTTATGAATTTTTTTAGATTTGTAGAACCCTTCCTTTTTTCCATAGCTTTATGTGTTGTTATTCAATGACATACTTCCTTAAAATTTTTTGTATTCTACGGGATTTATATGAGAACAGAATAGGAGACACTTCTGTGGTAAAACTACAGCAGTTGCGTTTGTTTTGCTTTGTTCGGAATATTGACGCAACTGAGTATGCCCAATGGCGACAAATATTCAGGAAACTCATCACAGTGATGAATATATTCACACTATGAATCGCTACCCAGAAATATTCTCTTTCCGAGTTTCCAGCACATTCCAATCGATTTGAAGATACCATTCGCGAGCTTCGTTGAATTACTTAAAGCCAGAATTAAATCACGTATAAGCTTAGTCTATTTTTGAGTTTCAGTTTCTTCCCACGTTCAATTCAATTCAATATTCAGTGGCTTAAAACTGAACTCGGACACACAAGTTATATGACTTAAAACAAAAAAATATATAATAAATTGTAAATCGAGGGCTTTCTGTTTAACATATATTTCAAAACAACCAAAACCATAAACTAAATTCA